TTTGTGCAATAAGCACAAACACACTGGGTGGGTTTTCTGATCCCAGGTTGGACTGTTTCCTTCGAGTCCAGCCAAGGGTGTGAGTTCTTGAAATTGGATCCTGCAGAAACGTGGAAGAGTGAACAAGTTTTGCCAGCTGAAAGCGAGAATCTCAGAGCAGGATAGTATTTTATTGACTCACAACTCAAAAGGAATTTAAGCAATTTGCTTCAAACACCGCTGCAAGATTCTCCTCTGCTTTCTGAGTAAGTGCTGAGCTTCCCATGCCAAACCAATATTTCAAGGCAGAACTGACAAATGCTGAAGCAGGGACGTCACTGGAGGAGTGAGTTGCTACCTTAAATCACACAGAATTACTTTTACTCTGGAATAATAAAATGTGCTGCTCAAAACCCAGCACTTGTCTCACTCTGACAAGCCACGGACCACTGGGTGCCCCTCAAGGTCAGCCCCAACCTGCTCCAAAAGCAGCTGCTCCGAACGAAACACGCCGTGGATGAGGGATCAGAAAAGCAATTAAAAGCTCTTTGAACGGCAATAGCTTGGAACAAATAGTAATTTGTACTTCTCTTCTGAGAAGCGAATATAAAGTAGCATTTCTAGTGCCATTTGATGTAAATTGAGCCTTTTATGCGGAATCATTACAAGTATCAACAGCTACTTCAGCAAATTCCTCTGGGAAGCCAAGTGGGGGGCTCTTCTTAACAGTTTAAACAAGAGGTGCTGCTGGATGATTTCAGAGCTCCAGAGGGGTGACACCAGCATTTCCCCCGGACAAATGAAGAACTCTGTCCTTGTACTGGATGACCATGGAGCTGGGAATCAAGGAAACCTAAGAAGCAGCAATTATTTCCTCAGAGCAGTCAGTGAAGCTGCGTCTGGGGCAAAAAGGAGTCACCTCTGAGAGGCTGGAAACATCCTTGAACAGGCCATACACCTTTGGTAGGTATCCCATCCCCCTGTCCCAATGGCATGGCAGAGGGGGTGCCTCTGGAGTGCACCTGCTGGGTTGCTGCAGTGCCGTGGCACGTTCTCAGACACTCTGGAGAACTGTCAGCTGCAATGAATGCACAACAAAATCACCCAATATACTGAAATTGCCTGGAAGATTAATGCAAGGATTGCCTTCTGCTCTGTACTTGGCTTCCCTCAGCTGTGTGAGGGCTTAAAATAAATAAATAAAGCGCAGAAGGGAAAAAAAAAAAAAAAACAAAACCAAACCAACAAACCAGGAATTCCAAACCAGGCAATTAACCTTTGGAATCCAAGTTGTGCTGCTGTTAATTAAGAGCATCCTGTAAGCTCCTAATTCCCAGCTGTGTCTGAGGTGCAGTTGGAGCAGGAGCTGCCTGTGAACCCCACGGATGAGCCGGGCAGGATCCGACTGCTGCTAATGGCTGGAATCCCAAAGAAACTCGCTTCCCATCAGCAGCTGCCTCCTGCTACCCGGATCTCCTGCCACAGATGGGATGTGCTGCCAGCAAATCTTTACCCTGCCTCGTGAGAAGAGCAGGATCACTGAAGGACAGCTCTGCAAAGCACCTCCAGCATCTCCTCATCAACATGGCCATGGGACAGGATCCCGGGCCTCACAGGGAATTCTAGGGTTTGAAACAATGGGTTTAAACCCCATCAGCCAAGAGCAGCCAGGGCAGCTGTGTGAGCAGAGTGCTGGGAGCTTCACATTCCCATAAAAACACATATGGAAGCCTCAAGATCTGGATATGGACAGAGCTCTCGTTCACCTGGACATCACCTTCCTGTCTGGCCAAGGGGTGCTCCCAAAGCTCTGCTGCAGCACCCACATCCCCCTGCCCTGTGGTGACAGTAAGAGCCAGAAGCCCACCAGGTTTTGCCTCCAGCCTGGCACCTTCCAACCTCGATTCCCTCACCCAGAACACACGGACAGTGATGCTCCACTGCCTCAAGAGGGCTCCGTGAGACTTCTCTGCAGAGCACTGCCGTGTCCCAGGATGAAAGGCAAGATTAACACGGGACCAGCACTGCTCTATCTTCCTCACCATATGTCGTTCAGAACCCCCCACCTCTCCCACACACACAGGATTGATGCCTTGGCTCTGAACAGCGCTCAAATCAAAATGTCTGTGCTGTGCCCATCTATTTGCAAAGCCACTGATGACTAGGAAGGTCTGACAAGCCGGAAAAAGAAAAGCAGGATGCCACTAATAATTTTTTATAAAAGGGATTTGGCATTTCCTCACAGGCAGGGAGGTTTGAGGAAGGCTCTTCAGTGGTTTGTTTGCAGCCTGGTTTGATACAACCAGTCACTGGCTGAAAATAAATGGCCAAAGTCAAGACCAGGGAACCTGCTTGAGCTGTTTCACCCAGAACAAATGGTGGGGAGTGCTGGTGGGACAGTTTTCTCAGAGAAATTGTGGATGCTCCTGCTCTGGAAGTGTCCAAGGCCAGGTTGGACAGGACTTGGAGCAATCTGAGCTGGTGGAAGGTGTCCCTGCCCATGGCAGGGGGTGGAACTGGATGAGCTTTAAGGTCCCTTCCAACCCAAACCATTCCAGGATTCCATGATTCTGTTTTGCAGGGATTCAGGGTCCAGGAGACCCATTCCCATGGTGTTGTCAGCAGTCACAGAGCACCAGCTCCCCAACGGGAGCCCCTGAACGCTGCTCTCGGGGTAACACTGAACAGCTTGGCGGGAGTGAGGAAGACAGAGGACAGCCACAGAGCGCTCCTAAATCCTTCTGCCTTTTGGAATGACCTCCAGGTTTGCCCCTGGGAGGATGGAGAAGGAGATATAGTAACACCCACACCTGGTTACAGCCTGGGGAAGGCTCACACCTCGCCTTGCAGGACCTGCTCCGAGCAGAGGGGCTGGGCAGCCCCTGCCACTGGGGAATCAGAAAGCTGTGATGAAACTGTTTTTCCTGGCAATGCTCATGGCTTACCCAAACAGAGCTGTTCTCCCCTCCCCTCCATCCCCACACCACGCTGTGGGGCTGGGACACTTCCACACAAAGCAGCCCCCGGCCTGAGCCCGGCAGCCAAATCTCACACAAGGGAGGGCTGCGGGTTCCCAAATCACCCCCCTCATTTGCCACAGGAGCCCTGGATTTTCCTGCCTAACAGTCTGGGAGCCCAGAGCCGTTCCCTATCGCTTTTGGACAGTGCCTGATCCTCTGGGACACCGCTGCTAGGGAGGGTTTGGGTGAGGTGTCACCACCCCGGGCTCCTCATCCCGCGGTGTCCCAGGGACGCTCCGCGGGCAGGCACGTGGGGGAACTTCCACAGGTTTCACTTCAAAATTCCTCCCTTTTTATTGGGCCCACACCGGGCAGGAGCCAAAAGCTTCAGAGCCTTTATTGCCACTGGCTTTGAGACGGTTTAAAGCGAATCTTTTACGAGGTAAAACCCAACGCGAACCTGCCGGCTGCAGCTTTCCCGGGCGAGCAGCAAGGACGTGATTATCACAATTTACCATCATCCAAGCGATCGTGGACACAATCCATGTGATCCCTGGGTTTTCTCCCTGCTGCCTGCCTAAGGTTTTTTCCCCCAGCTCCCATCACAGCCATATCCAAGGACTGACAGAGCTGCATCCACCTGACAGAAGGGTATCCATGCAGAAATGCAGCTGCCAAGAGGAATGAACGGTCTATTCAGGAGCCATTGACAAGGTGTACTTCCCAATTTTGAAACTTGTTGTGGAACAACTAAGCAGACGGGAAGCTGACAGCGACAGCTCTATCCCTGTTGGGTTTGGACACTCTCTGCTGGAACTCTGAGCCAATTTATTGTTGCACACCTGAGGTTTGGGGGGGTTTTAGCTGAGCGCTCGCTTTTCTGATAGAAAATACGTCTCAGCTCAAAATATGGGGGGGGTTTAAAGCACAGCAGTGGAGAGAAAATCAAGTAGCAGCACTCTAGGGACCCATTTGTCATGGTCCTGAGCAGGACTTCATCCTGGGAAACGATGGGAAATATAATGCAGAGCCTCTTGTCCTCCCTTTGGATGGATTATGCTGCTCAGTCTGCCTTTCCTCCTCACTCCTGAACGGAGAGACCATGGAATGAGGAGAAACAGCTTTATAAATAACTTTGACCTGTTCCTGATCCTGCAGTGAAGATTCTGGGGGAGCACTGGATGAGCCTCTGACTATCCCCCTCCCAGAAGATCAGTCCAAGGATGTCCTGGCCTCACTGGGATGAATTTCCTGCACCTGATACAGAGGTGTCTCAAGAAACACCAGAGAAAACAGCTGAAAAGAACCATTTTTTTTCTCCAAGAAAGAAAAGCCCAGAAGAACGCAACTCTCCCAGAGCGACCAACTGGAGATGCTCAGATGACTCACCTCCCTTCTGCCACTGCACAGCCCCTCCAGCCTCCACCAGCCAACAAGGACAAGCTGTCCTCACTGCCAGCACCACTCTCTGCCATCACCACGTTCAGACTAACACTGGCAAGAGCAGCACAATTTCTCAGCAACCACTTAAAAGAAAGACCTACTTGCACCCTACGAGATCAAATTAAAGGTTTTGGAGCCCTCAGGGAGAAACTAACTTTTTGTTGTTGTTGTTCTTTGCTGTTTTAGCACTGCCTGAATAGTTCAAGCCTTTATATAAAGGTCCAGGACCAAAGAAGAAGTTTCTATGTGGGTTGCCTGCACTAAAAGGCCCACTGTGCACCACCACCATCGGTCCAACGGGATATTTCCACCAGAAAAATTCATGTTTATGAGAATAACTCAGAGCCAACAAGCAGCAAAGCTCCGAGTAAGCATGGCCAACACACGTATTTCAGCTCTGCACACCTCAGAGCTAAACTCCCCACCCCTCACTCTGCCAGCCCCCCTGCAGGGCGTTCCACACGCCAAGGATGCCTCCGCTCAACATGCTCACGCAGGATCAAGGTGTTTCCAAACGGCATGAAAATCACTTATTCCTCTTCTGATACAGCTCTGAAGGTTCCCCCCACGCCGTGAAACCCCCGACCCTCAGAGCTGCCCACCCAGGGCCGCACTCACCTGCTCGTGGTACTCGATGCCCATGCTCAGGGTGTTGATGAGGATGGCGATCATGATGCCCCGGTTGAAGTACTTGCTCTCCACGATCCTCTTCAGTTTGCTGCCAAAAGCCTTCCACAGCTGCACCACCTTGTTCCTCTCCTTGGGTTTTTTCTTCTTCCTCCTCCTCCTGCCCCTCTGCTGCTGGAGCTGGTCCCGGTGGTCGCCGTGCCGCAGGTCCTGCGTGAACTCGTAGACGCCGTTGCTGTCGGAGTCGCAGCTCTCGGAGTCGCTGAGGGCGAACTCGGGGTCGTCCAGGAGGCTGGCACAGAAGGGGCAGTCCTGGAGCTCACAGGTCAGGGTGGGGCCAGGGGGGCTGGGCAGGGGGGTGGTGCTCAGCCCCGACAGCCGGCTGGGCGTGCGCCGCAGACCTGCAAGGGACACGCGCGCCGTGAGGCACCGCACCGTGACACCCCGCTCCTGGTCTGCCCTGGGCAGGGCAGCTCCTGCCACCTCCTCAGATCAGTGCAATCACGGCATCATTGAGGCTGGAAAAGACCTCCAAGGTCACTGAGTCCAACCTGTGACTGAACAACACCAGCCCGTTAAAGCATCTTGTGAAGTGCCACGTCTGCTTCACGGGGCTGACTCATGGTGGCCCTTGGAAGTGCTTTCTGAACACTCCCAGGGATGGTGACTCCACCACTGCCCCAGGCAGCCCATTCCAATGGTTAGCCGCTCTTTTAGTGAAGAAATTTTCCCTAATATCCAGCCTGAACCTCCCCTGGCACAACTCAAGGCTGTTTCCTCTCATCCTGTCCCTCGTTCCCAGGGAGCAGAGCCCAACCTACCCCCGGGCTCTCCCCTCCCTATCAGGGAGTTGGAGAGATTAAAACCCTCTCCCCTGAGCCTCCTCTTCTCCAGGCTGAGCCCACCCAGCTGCTCCCCATAGGAATTATTCTCCACACCCTAAAAGAAGCCTTCCAGCCAGCCATCTTACCGAGCAGCTCTGGTTTTGCCTCATTTCCCCCTCTGATTTCCTTTCCCCCAGCCCTGACATTCACCCTCTACCCCCTGCAGAACATGGCACCCATTCAGTGCCCTGAGCTGAGGGAAGGCTGATGGACACACCTCTCCCCTTTCAATTATTCCTGATTATCCTCTGCCCAGGCTCACATCATCAGTGACATCTGAGAGCTTACCAAGCTGTTACACCCAATTTAGCCAGTGCTTCCATTTAGCTCCTAATGAGGAGGGAGAGGGAGGAACGGACCAAAGGTGGCTCCAGACCACGGATCACAGCTCTGGGAGTCACGTAATCTCCTCAGTCTCCTTCATCCCTCCTTCAGCCTTTAATAAAGCTCAGGTGAATTCTTTGCTGGAGGTCCAGGACTGAGTGTTCAGGGTGTTATAAAAATCAGACACGTTGCCACATGTTCTGCAGTGTGAGGAGAAATCCTGACTGCCCTCGTGGAGCCAGGGAATGGAGAGGACAGGGATGAGTGTTACAAGGATGATTTGGGGGGAATGGGAACCAGATTTTACTTCCTCATATTTAACATACAACAAATTCTTAGTTTCCTCTTATTTAGGAACCAAATTCTTAGTTTCCTTATGTTTTGGAACCAGATATTAATGGCAGGGGGAAAATAAAAACCCAACATGAACACAGTACTGGAAGCATGGGATCCTTCCTACAAAAAACCATTTAAGCACCAGTGAAAGTTTACCTTGAGATTCAGGGAAATGAGTAATAAATTCAGGCAGTTTTCCCCTGTCATAGTATCACAGAGGTTTGAAAAGAGCTCCAAGACCATCGAGTCCAACCATTAACCCAGCACCATGTTCACCACTAAACCATCTCCTTAAGTGCTATATCCACGTGCTCCTGTCTGGAGACTGGATGGGGACCACTTGGATTGGTTTTGGAGAGTCCAAGATAAAAGCAGTGGATGCTCCTGGCTCTGGGCCCTGGAGCTTGGAGCTCACCCAGCAGGAATGCTGATTTCAGCCCCCCCCCGGCTGAGCACACCAAACAAAGCTAAAGCGACCCCATCACTTGAAAACTGGGTTGTGACAAGAGTCAAAATACATTTCACTTGCCTGAATGTCACAGAGACATCAGTGACCTTCAGAACGGCCTTGAAAGCCAGGACTGGCCCGCTGGTAACACGTCAAAGACACCAGGAGGAGCAGGAACGTTTCCCCCCTTGCTCAGCCTGCAACAGCACTGCACACCAGCTCCTGCCTGCTCAGGACTGGCCCAACATGGAAAGCCTCAGCACAGGCACAGTAGATGGATAACAGAGGGAGGGGGCTTTCCAGACAGCTTTTAATGCTATCAAAGTGTTAAAAATTATATGAAACACACTGGCGCCACAGATGTCTTCAAAATACCAGAGCCTCCTTGGCTGCCTGCTAAAATAACCTCCCAGCATTGCAGGGCACGAGAACACGGAGGAACAGCCTGTACTTTGTGCTCTTCAAATCCACAACAAAAGGAGGGAAGAGAATACTCTCTCCCACAATTGCATCTTTCCCAGCAGACACCAACCTTGTTTCCAGCTGGGGCTGTGAGTGCCCTGGCTGCTAATGCCTCCTTAATGCTCTCAATTATCACTTCTGTGCTCTCCTCGAACAAGTCTTGCAGTGAACAGACTCTGCCTGTTGACTTGTGAGAGGAGAGAGGGAATTAAGTGAAACAGCTCTTTGTTTGCCCAAAAAGGCTGAGAGCAGGAGGGCTGGGAGAGCTCCTGAGCCCACCTCACCTTCCCCACTGAGAACAGGGGAGGAACCTCACATGGCTCCTTTGCTGGGTTTAGGGGTGGAGAAACACGAGCTGGGAGCTGTGTCTGGCAGAGCTGCACCCTCAGGAGATGGTTTGCTTGGCACCAAAGATCATCCTGAATTCTCAAAGCCATATCCCATCACCCCTGATCTCTGAAGATGGTTGTGGTGCAGAAGTGAATCCGGCTCAGCCCTGCTGGGTTGGGAAGGAGGGTCTGGAAAGAGGCAGAACTGTGGAGGGAAGAGCTGGGCACTGCCATGTGATGTGGCACAAGTGGGAAGGAGGGCCTGGAAAGAGCCAAAGCCATGGAGGGGAAGAGCTGGGCACTGCCACGTGGCAGGACAGGGTCTCCAGCTGGACCTGGCTGCCTCCCATCCCTTCCCTGTGCTCCTCAGGGGATGGATAAGCAGCAGCTCAGCAGCCAAGAACAGCAGCATCCACCCCTTCCCCCAGCTGTGACCACACTTCTGAAAGGAGACAAAACAATTCCAGGAGATTTGTTTAAAGCATTTTGGCATCCTCTGGGCCGAAATCCCCCTGTGAAAAGAGGACACTATAATTGCATTATTAATAACAACTCAATCCAATCTCCAGCTTTCAAAGAACTGCCTCAGGCTACGTGAAAATCTCCCAAAATCCCTGCACTGGCCCTGGGATGTCACAGCTGGGGCTGAGATCTGGGGGCTTTCTTCTCCTGAAGAAAGCTCTCCTTGCAAGCACCAAGATCCAAACCTCCGACTTCGCCAGCTCTCCTGCTCCTCCTCGCCTTCCTGCTGCCAGGCTTCTGCACAGCCTGGGCTTGTATCTCAAGGCAAAACACACATTCTCCCAGTAACCTTCACTCATTTGCATGGCTGGAGATGAACCAGTGATTCACACAGAGTCCTTGCTGAACAACAGAAGAACGCTGCAAACTAACCTTGCCCCCCTCTCTGCCGAGCTCCCAAGCGTTCAGAAGTGGCTGCCCAAGGCAGTTTCTATCAACAATCCACTTTACCCTTTTGTGTGGTCACTGGGGAAAAAAAAAAATAATTCTCAAAGACAAGCCACCCAACCTCTCTGGCAAGTAACCTTTCCTGTGACCCACCCCCCCCTCCCCAAGCGAGGCTCGGTATTTTTTCAGCACACACATCACCAGGGTAAATATTTGTGTCCATGCACACGCAGATAAACAGTTTTGGAAAACACAGGCATTCAAAAAAAAAAAAAAACAGATGACGACTTTAGCTTGAAAAGATTAAAAAATAGAAGCTGGATCTTTTTGACTTTTCAGTGTTTGAGGGCTCAAGACTATTTCTCAGCCTTCAGCTCCAGCCACGAGGGCTGGAAAAAACGTTTTGCAAAATAGAAACCCAAGTGCTGCGTGTAATCACCGCTCCAGCGGGTGATTTATATGTGAAGGGAGATAAAACCTCGCTGACTATTCTGGTGTTGCTGCAGTGTGTACAGATAGGGATGGGACTGAGGTACAAAGGAGTCCCCCAGAACGCTCCTCAGACTGAATGGAGCTCCAAATCTGCAGGAACACCCAGTCCTAGATTTCTTCTGCACGTGGGGGGTGCCTGAGATGTGTAACTCCGCTGCTCCTGCCCTCCTCACATCCTCTGAGGGCCAGCATAGAGCAAGACCCTGCAGTGACCATGGGCCTCCCTCCAAACCCTCTGCTCCTCCTTGCCAGGAAGAAATTCAGAGGCTCAGGGGTCCACCAAAGCAGAACTAGAAGTTTCTAGAAGTGTCTGGTTTGAGTTTTTTCAGTGCCTTCCTGTTTTAGACTTCTTACACTTCCTGTATCTTTTGCTACTCCACCACTTTTCACCTGCTCATCCCTTTCAAGGTGCCTCCCGGCCCCTGGGGCTTCTCTGCCTCAGGGATGGAGCTGGCAGGTCCATCACTCACTGGAGATGTAATTCCAGGGGGTGCACAGGTCTGTTCTTGGGTGGGAACAGAGGGAGAACCTCCAGGACATCACAAGGCACATGAGAGGGGCTCAAACCCACGTTTTGTAACAGCAGGAAAGAGGCCTCCAGCAACGGCCTGAACTCACTGCCTGGACCACCCTGTATCTTGCAAGGGTGCCTTTCCCAGTGACTGCAAACACAGGGACAGAGGGAACAGAGCTCCCAGCCTTCACCTGCCCTTCTTCTGCCTTCAGCAGCCACAAGGCCACCATTAACACCTCGGCTCTCGAGCAATTCGCCCTTTGCCCAGTTTTCCTAAGCAAAAAAAAAAAAAAGCAACCACAGAATCATTTTGATTATCCTTACCATGCTCTCCTACCAGCTGCTGCAGCTTCCCGTAAGGATCCACGCCCAAATTCACCGGGCTGTTAACCACGGCCACCGGTGAATTCCCATTCTTCTTCCCCTTGGGCGCGGGCGCGGAGCCGGCTCTGCCCGTGGGCGAGGGCAGGATGGTGGGGTAGTTGGTGTTGCCGCGGCCGGAGAGCCCGGCGGCCGCTTTGACGCCCGCGGGGGCGTTGGAAGACTTGCAGCTGACGGGGGGCCCCTCCACGTGGCAGTCGGCGTGGTAAATGCTGTGCACGGCCTCGGAGTCGGGGCGGGGGGCCGGGCTCTGCGGCCCGGGGGCCGGGGCGGGGAGCATCAGCTGGGCCCCGGGTTTCACCACCCTGAGCTCCAGGTCGCAGATCTCCGGGCTGGGGCGCGGGCCCCGCGGGCTGCCGTTGCTGATGTGGTAGTGGTGGTGGTGGTGGTGGTGGTGGTGGTGGATGAGGTGGTGGATGGAGGTGATGCGCCGGCGGCCGCGGTGGCCC